ATTTATCTATCGGGGAGATCGAGAATGTGGTATATTTTCAGTCTTCTTACTGATAAGCTATTGTCTAATAGACTTAAGGCTAAATTATTTTCATGGTTGTGGAGTCTGTCGATGTTGTTCTTACTAGTATTATTTATTTCTTCTTTAATGGTTGGAATATTAGGATCTTTGTCTATATTTTTGCATTAGATACGTAAAAAGGAGTATTGATAATGTGTCACAAAGTTTTTGATTGGCAACTCTGAACTGGCAAAGTACTCTGAACTCTCAATGTTTGAGTTGCAAGAAGTCCCCCAGAGCTGTATAGCGTATTTAAATGTAAGCATAGTAGTTTCTTTACACAGTTGGGCAAGGATTTTGATCCAATCTGATCCCAATGTGGTGATCTGAAAGATATGGTCGTTTCCTACTGAAGAGCATTTTTACTTTTCTCCTATCTTTACAATTGTGGATGCTGCAGATTTTCGACCTTTGTGGGGCGGAAGAGGGTGGGGCGAAATTTTGAAATACACTTGAAACAGTGTGAGCATACAGCCAGCTGGATGAACCATTTTGTGGCTTTAGCTCTTTTAGTTTTTGAGATCAAAGCTCTCAATAAGACTGCTATATTGACTCGCTATTGATGCTGATCAAGAATATACATATGCATATACCTTTTGCGGTCGGTTTCATTCTCTGCGTTACATACATCAACTTGTTCCCACAAATACAATATACCCTTTTTACTCTTCGAGTACAGGGGTTAAAAACCAAGTTTTAATGTGGTGCACAATCAATCACTATTCTGAATATATGAATAGTTACTCGAAAGCACGTTCAACAAAGTAAGAATTTCTTAGCGTTAAACACGTTTTCCAGCTTAAAATTTGCTCGCTTGGATCTTCCTCACAAAAGACTCAAGCGAAACTAATGAGAAATGCGGGAAACAGCTGTGCATTTCTGTGGTTTACTATCGATGCGATCGCCCAAGCAGGTAGCTTGCGAAGAAATTTTCGAGATGCTGGCTGTCCGGTGCATTTGTTTGCCACTTGAGAAAAGGATCTTTCGAAATCTCTGGCTGTCTCTCATTTGAATTAAGGGTTTTCATTGGAATTTCGGCACTGTTCTGTTGAAATGTACAATCCCGTTCTACCATTTACTGCCACATGGCCCCGGTCATTTATTGAGCATGTTTTTTTATACCCGGTACTCGAAGAGTAAATAGGGTATATTGTATTTGTGGGGAATAACGGTTGTATGTAACGCACAGAAGGAAACGTTTCCGACCCCATAAAGTATATATATTCTTGATCAGCATCAATAGACGAGTCGATAGAGCCATGTCTGTCTGTCCGTCTGTCCGTCCGTCCGTCTGTCCGTCTGCCCGTCTTGTTTGTCGGCTAGTTCTCAGAGACTATAAGAGCTAGAGCCACCAAATTTGCATCCAGACTGCTATATGCTCACACTGAAACCAGTGTATTTAAAAAATGAGCCACGCTCCCTTCCGCCCCCGCAAAAGGGCGAAAACCTCACAAATCTACAGTTTTGAAGATAAAGGAAACGCCATTCCGTAGGGAATGGCCATATCTATCAGATCATTAAATTGGGATCGGATCGGATCATTATTATAGCCAGAATGAAGAAATTAATTTTCAGTGGCTAAACCCACCCTGTCCCCCAGCTTTTGTTGTTCTTTTCACATTCTCTCATTCACACATTCACAGTTTTGACAAAACACCGCTAAGGTGCAGATGTAGTCCTGAGTGCCGGGTATAAAAATTGTGACGCGTAAGAAGCGTCTCACACGTCCCTTCTCGTTTTTTTTTGTGGTACTTGCTGTTACCCATCCCCAAGCATTATTACCACATCACAATATCTAAATTATTGGATAGACAGATAGATGGATTGATGGGTTACATGTGTGTGACAAAACAACCGAAAATACAATTGAAGGGGCATGTAACCCCACTTATTGTATTGCTCAGCTGTGGGAGGCTCTCATCGGATCAATTTTTCAATTGTTTTCTCGCTCACAAGTTCAAGTTTATTAGTCACACAAGCCAGGGGTCAAGTCTCGGATAACATCTAATAAAAGTAAAACTGAAACTCTGTTGCACGCCGCGGCGTCTGTTCGGTGCCTGTGCCTGTGCCCTCACTCAATCCCCCATCCGCTTCGGAACAACATGTTCTATAATTAAACAATTCCATATTCAGATGTACGAAAAATGAATGTAGGTACCCATTCGTTTGTCCAAGGCAGATTTTGCATCTTTAGCATATGGCTAATGCATTATTCAATGGCTTATGAACTGCAGTGCACTAAACCATAGGATGGATGTACTCACGTAAATACATTTCGACACACATTCGCCATTTATATTAGCTTATAATTCTAGCTTTTCAATACCCGGTACTCGAAGAGCAATTATTATATTGTATATTATATTTGTGTTCGAAATATGTAACACACAGAAGGAAGCGTTTCCGACCCTCTAAAGTATATACCACCAGAAAGAGCGAAAATCTCCCACAGCCACAATTTTAAAGATAAGAGAAAAGTAGAAGAACAGCTTCGTAGAGAATGTCCATATCTATCAGATTACCGAATAAGGATCAGATTGGATTATTATAATATCCAGAATAATGAGATTCGTTCTCAGTGACAAGCCTCCACCCCTTCTAAAAGCTTTTTTTATTTCTTGCACATTCCAACACTGCTTCGAGCAGTGTGTGTCTCTAGGGGGCAAGCTAAAACAGCGTGTTGATGGGACAAGTGATGTATAAGTATGTAGAAGTAAAAAATGGTAAATGAAGAATACATACATTTCAATGTATAACACTAAGGTAAAAAAGAACAAATATACATATGTACATACATAAATACTAACTGAGTACCGGGTACAAAAGTTGTGGCCAGTAAAAAGCGTCTCACAACGTTCCTCCTTGTTTTTCTTTAATTTCCCACAATTCTTTATTCATTTATTAGCACATACATACATACATATGTACATATTTCATATTTTACTGTATGCGCTTGCGTATCAGGTAACGATAATTGCAATTAGAAGAAGCTGCAAACAAAGGAAAACGATTCATGGGAAATAAAATATACGGATTACGTATGAACATATGTACGTATGTACACAAATCTTATAATCATGGACCGAATCTGTAGAGAGAGTTGAGAGAGATGGAGTTTTTCAGCAACGGAGCACAAAGCGGATTGTCTTTTTTTATTTAGCTGTTGCAGCTACTTCGCCTTTTGGATGCTGCTCCAACTGCACTTCGTGGCTGCTTCTTTGTTGTTGGCACTTATCCATGCTTAGTTGTGAATAGACATACGTATGTACATACGTATGTACTTATACATGTACATACAAATGAATAGCCTATCAGAGGGTGAACATATTTCCTATAACTATTAAAAATAAGCAGAAATGTATGCTCACATTCTAATTTTAATTTAATGAAAGGTATCAACGTGGTCATTTGGACAGTTTTTTTTGTTTTGATTAGAGCAATTTGCAATTCGATCTAATTTGAGTGTGCAACGATTTGTCTGGGTCTAAGGGTATCTAGATCTTCGATTTCCATAGTCTTATGCAAAACATTAAACCTAACAAAAATATGATTGCATAAGTGAGAAAAGTCTGTACATCTCTTCTTTGTTTTCTTTTTTAGTAACTTTCATCGATTTTTTCAGTGCAATTTGTCGGAGTTTTTGTTGGTTGTTGGGTTCGCCCAGAGTTTATTGCTCTCCTGCTTTGGATTGACTCATCCGCTTTTCACCTTCGCTGATTTGCTGTGATACAGAGTACTCGAGTATCATTATTTTTTCTTTGCTTTCTTTTGAACCCCACCCTCCTCGCATGTAATCATATATTTCTGCCCATTATGGCATATTATTCCAGCTGGAAACGCTTTGAATTGAATTAAGCAGACAATCGACATTTAATCACAACTTTATATTTAGTTTATTATGAAATTGGAAGCTCGGCGGAAAACGAGGTTCCTCCAATGCAATGTCAAAGCATTTCATTTGGAGTACTTGAAGAGAAACTATAGATGACATATTGAAGGTTCATTTAATCCACAAGACAGACACGTAAGGTAAATGGCATAGATGTGGGTATATTCATTTGGTAAAGTTTTAAAGAGTCATTCAAATGTATTAGTAGCTTAATCCCGTACTACATGTGTATGTGTTCTTACCTTCTGTAATCTAGTTATTTAGATAAGTTGTTTATCTAATCCATTCTAACCATACCAAATGCTTAAGTATTCCGATAAGTGTTACACATTCCCGTAATCCCTGCAAAGTACGTTGACCTACTTACTCTTTAACAACTAACGGCCCTGACATATCAATCAAGCACTCAACAACATTACATTCGTCCAATTGTACCAAGAATATTTATAGATTTCTATACTCCCCGCTTTTGCACCCATCCTTCTGTGACAATTCAAAAAAGAAACGAAAGCGTGAAGCACGTAAAAGAAAACAGAAAATGATGTGTAGGCAGAGCTTCAACAATTAAAGAAGAAATATAGGTAATTACTCAGACTTAAATCGGGAACCTCTCCTTCCATCCACAAAGTGCTCTGAGGCCCAGCCAGTCATGGCCTGAAGTAAGAGGTAATTGCTGTTCAGGAACGGAAGTGTCCACAAAAGACCTCGACCCAATTTGGTTTCTGATAGACAGTAACTAATGTTGATAAAAAACCTTTTTCCCTTGGTCGAAGTTTGATTAAAGTCTACGGAAGTAGAAAGTGCACCTGTTGCACGTTGAGCCCTCGAGAGTTACCATAGAATTGGTTGAATCGATAATGTGCTTAGGACTAATTACATTCAAGTTTTCATGAAACTGAAGGAAACATAGTTTAACAAGCATTGAGTAGGCCCTGCGACCATATCAAATGCAGTGGATAACCGGTTTGCGACCTATTGACCTGCACGTTATACAAAAATTTCTCTAGATCCAATTTCATTACAAATGTTTTATTTTTGATATTTTTTTCAGATCTTCCCAACTTAAGATGGCGCCCATGCCGCGCATTCAGTTGCCCAACAGCAACGCGTCCATCAAAGCTGACACAAACAGTTTTCTCTATGCGGAAACTATGTCCGGCAACAGCAGCCCCACCCCCAGCAGTCCGCCCTCCAGCACAGGTACAGTACTCACCTAGATGTACATGACCTTTGATTGCCAATAATAAAATGTTTGTGTGACCTTAGCGGGCGTTGCCAAGTCTCAGTGTTCGTCTTTATCCGATGGCGAGTCCTTCGAGGGCTATGGCGAGAACGAGTTTCCCGCCCAACTGAGAGAAGGGCGGAGCGGCTCCAGTCCCAACAACAACAGCATCAGCAACAACAATAACAGCAACATCATCGGAAACAAAGGCAACAACAATCTCAGCGTGGGAAGCTCCAATTCCCACCACAATCACAGTGGAAACTCGAATGATGGGAACAACAATCTGAACGCTAGCGTTGGTATCGAGCTCGATCTGGTACCGCATGTGGGATCATCCACGCCGCAAGAGTGAGTCGCATCAGTTCATATGTATAGAATGTGCAGGGCGTTATGGCATAAGTCAGTGACAGATGTACGATATAAAGAAGAGTGGTCACTCCTTATATAAAATTCAATCGCATGTCACACAATTATACCTGATACGCACTGTATATACGGCTATGTGTATTTTCAAATACTTATGTACATATATTGTATGGAGTGTTTCGACTAATTGTAATATTATTTACAGCGAAGATGAACTGAACATAATGCCCCGAGATAATTGGACCAGACGCAGTCTAAGACGAACACCGACAAGGTAAACCAACACTCCCATTGTATCAGCAACTAGGTTCGCTCTCAAAATGGAAATCGAGTCATATGCGAATCTTTACAATTACAGGAAATTTATAAGGCTGCTCATATAATAAGTCTACTGAATACATTATGGCTATAAGCTACCCCAACCAGTCACCAGTCCAGTCCAGAGACTTCATCAATTCAAAACTCTAAATTTGTCCGTAGCAAAAACAAAAGCCACACAATTTGAATAGTTAACCTTTTCTGTATGCGCTCCAGAGTCGAATGTGTGCGTTGAGTTGAGTGTGTGTTGTACGAGTTTATGTGATTAAAATGCATACACAAAACCAGTTTTTTCTATGCTCGTCTTGGGTATATGATATGGCCACCATAAGCCGTGATTCATGCGTGCCTCTGTCTTCAAGTCGAAAATTCAATTACAGTCGGTGCTCGTGGTGCATGATCTTTGTGCACATGCGCATGTTCGATTACATTTCAGACTTTTTGTAAACTGTTTTGTTTCGGCTTCGAACATAACATATTAACAGTCTCAAATAAATTATATTTATAAATATAAAATTTGCGGGATTAATGCTAATGTACATAAGTAGCTAACATTCATACGTAAACAAACATTTGGATACCTAAGATAACAGAGCTGTGTTCATTGAATTCCAGCATTTCGATTAACCGAAATCTGTAAGCCCAGTCGAGATGCAAGGTATATGGAATACGAAAGGTGCACGTTTTAAATTCAACTAGGATACATGTGAAATTGCAGTGATTTGATACAATTTAAAACGACAATTTATAAATATTTTTCTTGCAGCAATCCCGATACTTTATCTCAGCGTCGTTGGGGCTCTATGAGACAGTAAGCCAAAAATCATTAAATCTTTTGGTTTCATGTAGAATCCCCTCACACAAAAAACCCATATAACTCTCATTTTTGACCCATTTGGTTTTGGCTTAATCCTTTCTATGCATACCACTCGTATATAAACCATTTTAATATTTTTAGCATTAACGAATTCAAAAATTGTATCATATCAGGGTTTTCATCAATAATTTTATTTTTATCTTTTTGATTAAAAATTGCTTTTCCCAATTGAAATTATTTTCGTTACCTCATTGCCGGTTTTTCTCCATCCCATCTGCATTTGTTATCAGGGTTTCCCATATTTTGCGTCCACTTCAATTGTTATACAACCGAAAGATTGAGATTGTACAATTGAGTCTCATTTTCAAAAGATTTCTTTCTGCCAAACCCCAAAATACAAACAAAATACAAAGAAGGGACGTGTGGGACGCTTCTTACACGTCACAACTTTTTTACCCGGCACTCAGTACTACATTCATCTGCACCTTAGCGTTTATCTGTCAAATTTTACATTTGTTCTTCATCTGTCATCTGCATCAACAACAATACTCACTCCAACACGCTCCTTTAGCTCGCCACCCTCCCCTAGAGCCAGACACTGCAGAGTGAGGATAGAGACGCGGCAGAGGCAGAGACGTGTCAGAGGCAGCGACGCGGCACTGCGCGAAGCAGAGTGTGAATGAGAGAATGTGCAAAAAACAAATATAAACTTCGGGACGGGGTGTGTTTAGCCACTGCAAATTAATTTCTTCATTGTGGCCATAATAATGATCCAATCAGATCCCAATTCGGTGATCTGATAGATATAGTCCTTTCTTTTCGTTTAATACTTGCACCCAGCTCTACTACTTTATTTAACAGCAGATTTCATGTTTGTTCTACTAAAGAAACGAGATACAAGAAGATGGAATGCAAATGTTCCAGGATTCCTTTCCAAAAAGGTATCACTTGTTTAATTCGAAAATCTGAAAGGGTCTCAAAAATAGTTGTCAGAGTGATGAGGTGCGGCACTACTATTTCATTGAACACAACTGTACATGTGTATTTAATAATACGTTTTTTCGAGTTTTACATTTTACATTTGTTCTACATCTGTCATTTACATCTACCCACATCTCCCGCCAACACGCTGTTTGTGCGAGTGAGAAAGAATGACAAAAATAGGCAAGCACAAGCAAAGCTGCTGGACGGGGTGGGGGTAGCCACTGGAAATTAATTTCTTCTCTCTGGCTATATAACTATGATCCAATCGAATCCCAATTCGGTGATCTGCTAGGTATGGTCATTCCCTACGGAATTGCATCTTATGCATGGACACAGCAGATTTTCGCCCTTTGTGGTGACGGAAGGGGTCGGGGCTAATTTTGGAAATACATTTGTAACAGTGTGAGCATACAGCAGCCTGGAGGAAAGATTTGTTGCTGATCAGGAATATATATACTTTATGGGGTCAGAAACGTATCCTTCTGTGCGTTACATACACCCACTTTCGAGCACAAATACAACATACCCTATTTATGTATAAAATACCAAACAATTGCGGGGCGGCCCTGTTGGGCATCATAAAAGTTTTTATGTAACATTGGCACATTTCTCTGGGCTTTAATTGCGACTGAGCCCATAATAAATATATCAGATTAATGGAGAGAGATTTTGCTGGAACGGAGGGAAATTAATGAGAACTTTGAGATGAGATCTGATTGTTATTTATACAACTTCCTCGATAGTTCTGCTTGGAGTTCCCAAGAACACGAGACCTTGTTTCCTGTTTGCACTCTCCCCTCCCATAGTAGTTTGGCTGCTTTTGTGAGCGCTCTTCTCTCGTTTGCGGAAAGATTGAAGGTACACAATTGTCCATACATACATATGATGCGGGTCTGGCCCTCACCAATCTCCTTTTCCCCTTGGTTCGGCTTGACTTGGCTTACAAGTTTCGCTGCCTCTCTGGGGTAGTCATGCCATTGGAATTTACTCAGAGAGCTCTTGCCTGGCCCGACTCTGGCTGTGGCTCTGACTCTGGCTCTGAGAAAGTGAGGAGATTGAGGCACTGGAAACAAGTTTGACTTGAGGCAAGGCATTTATTAACTCTTCAGAATTTAGGCCGACACTTTTGTCAAGTCGCGAAAAAAAATTGACCAAAAATAAAATTCACTCAAAGATACACGCTAGAGTTGTCCACTGGTTTGTCCACTGCCGGGTTTTCAATCTTGAATCCGTTTGGAACGGTCTGAGACTGTGCTCGAAGAGTAAGTAGGGTATATTATATTTGTGGGGAAAAATGGAACACACAGAACACAAACACACGTTTGCGACCCCACAAAGTAAGTATATTCTTGATCAGCATCAATAGCCGTGTCTGTCTGTCCGTCCGTCTATACGTCCTTATGAGCGCCTAATACTCAGAGACCGTAAGAGATAGGGCAACCAAGTTTTGCATCAAGATAAGAGAACAAAGAGAAGAAGAAATTAATTTGCAGTGGCCACCCCCACCCCATCCAGCATTTTTATTTTATTTTTACACATTCTCTCATTCTACAATTTGTTTCGAGCAGTGTGTGGCTTTAGGGAGGGGGGCGAGCTAAAGGAGCGTGTTAGCATAAGAAGTGCTGTAGATGTAGATGTAGTTAACATATGTAGAAAAAATTTAAAATTCGAATCTGACGGAGTACCGGGTATAGAAGTTGTGACACGTAAGAACCGTCTCCCACGTTCCTATTCGTTTTGGTTTGCACTTCACATTCAACAAAATACATATGTATATGGCCACGGATGACTTTGAGAATTGAAGAAAATTCAAATTGAAAATATCTAGATTGAAAGATCTTGCAAGAAATTATGGCAGATGTGTGTGATGCTTATTCGACTAGAAATTTCTCAATGATGGTTTATTTTATAACAATAATGTTATCAAACAAATTTTTAACTATTAAATTGTTGGGTTTCTTTTAAAAGATTAAAGATAAGCTATAGCAATGAGTGAAGTGGCCAGAAAATCGATCTATTTTCTACCCCAATTTGCAACAATAAGAACGAGGATAAAATTCCACCAAGTATCCCTTTCAGTTCATTACAGAGCAAAACACTCATCTTATTTTTGGTTAGACTTCTCGTACAAGTAAACAGCTCTGCTTTATAATTCTTCTACATTTTCAAATAACTGTCTAAACGCTCCTAAATTTTTTGCAAAAATGTGGGAATATCGCCAGGTCATGGACTCCCAGACGCGGCTGAAAATTAATCCTTTCTGCAACGATTGGAAATCGGCTTGCTGGTTCATGCTGAAGGGTTTTGAGCTCTATAACTCTTTGATGCTGAAATTTCTCTCCGTTGTATTGGTGGCGATGGCTATCGTCATATTAGTGGTGCTGAAGCAATGGCTCAATCATGTGAATAGAGAGCAGCAAACCGGCCCAGAGCCTTCTGCGTCAGGTAGAGAAGATCTACTAGAGGAAAATCGAGAAATGAAATTGATATCACCTTTCATAGACGACGAGGAGACTCAAATCCAGGTGCTAAAGGAACCAGTCTTGGCCCACCAAATATCAAAATATGAAATTCGTCAAGTCTTCCAAGAGTCATATCCCGCACATCATGTGGAAACTCAAGCTAATCCGTTTCCTTCTATTTATCGAGATTTGTCAAACGTTTTGCCAGAGGTCCCGATTGCCAGTGTGGCTGGATACTTAATGGAAAACTGTACAAATTCGAACAGTTCTCGCCAAGTATCAACGACTCCTAAGACGCAGCCAAAGATAGAAAATAAACCCCAATTGCTTGCAGCGAAGACAACAAAGGTTAATTCTGGTCCTAAACTCAAGCCGAAGCCAATGTGGAGACTCTAACTCTACCATTTGATCACAGCTCATTCAAATTTAAAGTTATTATTCGATAAACATTTGGCCGTAGTATCTTTTAATTGCAATATGATATTTATTTACTTAAACTTTCAAAAAGAATAAAAGGTACTTCCGATCCAAGGCTAACGCTTTTCAAACCTTAATGTAAGCTTGGAAAGGCGTTTAAACGCTTTGAAAGCTTGTCCAAGTGTTTTTTCTATTGACTTGGCTTGCATTTCTTGCGTTTGTGTCCCATGCGGGGAGACAATGGCAATATTTTTTTAATCGTAGGATGCATCGTCAAAGATTACCAAATGTCTACGAAAATCTTACCGCTTGATTTTCTCTTAAAGTTAAAAATTTGGAAGAAAACTATTATTTTGTTTGAAAAATGTTATAGAAAAACGTTAAAAGAGTTACCAGATCCGATGGTTAACTATAGCACCTTGCCTGCTGTTAACGGTATGTGGCAGTCAACAGACTTTCCGTAATAGTCTGGCAATGCTGCTCCACCAGCAACCCTTTCGCCGCAGAGCAATCGTTGGCGCTGTTGGCCTGGCTCTCATCTCTCTATTTCTCTCTCTCGCTCCACACACTTGTTCGCTGCCGTTGCGTTGCCTCTTTCTGTTATGTTATGTTTATTTTGCTTTGGCCTGTTGTTGCCGCTTCGAGCCATGTTGGGGAATGCGGTTAGTTCGAGTTGGAACTTGGCTGGAAACGCGTGCGTCGGCGTCTCTTTCCCGATTTAATTATTTATTATGTCCCGCACAGAGAGTCTGTGACGAACAGTGTTCCGGTGGTGTCTACGTATAAGAAACAAATAGACAAAAAGTATGTGAAAGTGTGGGTTTTGGGACCAGACATCGCGGCGAATGCGAAGTATTTTCGCAAACTTAATTGTGATTTTTGTTTTGTTTTTCGGGTTTGTCCATAAATTTCGCTTTCCATGAAATAGAAAACGTTTTTAATTTGAGCAACGCGGTTTTATGTGATTTTTTTACACAGTTTTCTGGGCTGTTGTAGCTTACACTTTGGTAATTTATGGCGTCACGCCTTAATGACTAACGCTAAACACACAACAACAAGGCAAATAATAGTGTTAAGAAGTAAAACTGCTACAGTGCACATTCCCAGGCAAAGCTATCAGACATTATCTCGCTTGTTCTTCCCCATCCAACGCTTAGCCATCGCCTCTCCTCCTTTATCTTCGACATGTCGGCCTCGTTCCTTACACGTGACTGTTGCTCGTTCTCAGGAGGCCCACGCCCTTTTGTGCTGCACTTTTCGCAACTCCATTCTTAAAATTCAAAAGATCTCCCTTTATGCTATAAATGAACAAGGAGGGGCGAGTGAGGCGCTTCGTACGCGTCACAACATTTATCAAGAAGAGTTATACTTTATGGGGTCGGAAATGTTGCCTTCTGTGCGTTACATATGTACATATGTACATACACTTTCTAGCACAAATACCCTCTTAAAAATCGCATAGTTCTAATTGAGTTTCAATTTTAATTTTTGTCTGCCTCAAGCGAGCTAAAGGGCGTGTTGGCCGTAGAATTGATGTAGATGATGTAGATGTGTAGAAAAAATGTAAAATGATTTTTATTTTTAATTCATCGCTACATCGAAGTTGGTTGGTCGCAGACGTGAGTCCGCCTTGACTTTATGTTGAATATTATTATTTTTTTTTTTTTATTGTGTTGAATATTTGAAAAAAAAATTTTACTGAAAACTTTGAACTTAAAAAAGAGTTGGCCGAACGAACACCAGAAATAGAAAGCGAAATGTAAAATTCGAAAAAAAACACTACGGTACAGAAACATTTATAATGACAGTGTAAAAGTTGTGACACATACGAAGCGTCCCACACGTCCACGTCCTCGGTGTATAATCTTACTTAGACACTCATTTATGTTTCAACACCCTTTTGAGACCACAAATCGAGCATTTTCCTTTGCAATTGGAGCTGAAAAGGCAATTATGTACTTCAATATAGATATTGGGCGCAATCAAATCGAACCCATTTCAACACCGTGAGAGACCCACACTCTCCGATTTGGACATTTTTTCTCGCCTTGTCGCGATCCATCAATCAAAATCGAATCATCTTTATAGCCTTAATTACCCGTGGAGCAGCCGTATAAATGTTGCCCGTCAGTTGTTGTACACTTTCATTGTTAGTTGGTCAGCGAAGCCGTCTTCCGACTGCAGTTTTCCTTTTGATTTCGCTTTCGGAGAGCTTTTAATGACGTTATCAGAGCGATGTTTGGCCACAAGAGACGCGTGTTCGTCAAATATTTACCACAAGACGGCAAATTGGTGTTCGACTTGAGGAGATTCGTAATGAAAAGTGAAGTGTGGCCCGGTACCCCGACAATCCAATCCAATCCGATTCGAAGCGAGGAGGAGTTTCCAATGCACAAGTGTGTATATTTTGTCGGTGATGATGGGTTCGACCCCGAGTCGGTTTCAACTCCTTTTTCGTGTCACAAATTGGATGAGAAGCTGAGAAAAAGTGAGGTATATACTGTAGCTCAAATCAACAACTGATGCAAAGCTTGCGGTGATTCATTGAAAATGATTGAAAGTGAATGAGACTGCAATGCAGACTAGAATAAAATATTAAACAAATTAAAACAAATCTAAATCATATTTCAAAGTCTTCAAATAAATCATCTAAAAGTCTAAAACTCACGTAATGAATGTTTTTTGAGGACTTCAATGGCCAACAGGGCCTAAAGAGTGCTGTACTTAAAGCTGATCCATAAGCCAATATACATACATATGTATGTGCATATGTACATACCTTACCGGTTAAAGGCATCAAAAGCGACTCAATGACGTCCACAGTGCGGATTATAACAGCAGAAACTGATAACCAAATCAGCTAACCGAAATATAAAAGTTTAGCGTAGTTCTAAAGAGATCTCACCTAAATGGATGATGAGTATTTTGACTACTTTCCTTATGACCGTCGTCGCAGTCATATAAGAAAAAAGTGCGTATTAAATTCTCACTAAATCATTTCACCATGTTATTGTTGTTGCACTTAGCTGTATTCATTGTGGTTATAAATATATATAGTATTATTAATAAAGCCGTCAACAGTCAAGACACGGCCAGGCACCGCAGTAGACGAACCATCTAAATGTATTTGTCTATCTATTTTTAATAGATCCATTAACTTAATTGTTGGTATCTAAGTATCGTATGAGCCCTAGATATTGCAGAGAATTATAATTAATTGAAATTTAAATATAAGAGATCTATACGTTTTTTTCACATCAAGATCATGTTTAACAAACTTTCTCTCTATCTTTTCATCTACCCTTTCTCCAATCCGTGCTTTTAGCTAAACTCTTCAGACATTATTCCCTAATTAGCTTATCAAACGAAAAACTAATATATAATTTCCAAGACACAAAGTATTCTTGTAATAAGACCTGTAATAACCTGTCCAGAGCCCCCAAAACTTAGTGCTGAAAAATGTAGGTTTTTTTATAGTTTCAATTAGTTGAACCAGGCAACTAATGATGGGTTTCGGGAGCGGAGAGGAGAAGCTAGGTGAGTGAGTGAGAGAGGTGTGTCTGTGCCTTTGGCAACTATTTTCGTTGCTACTGAAACAGAAACATTACCCGTAACCCTAACAGTAAGTCACGGTGCATTGAGGCGTTTCGCTGGGAATAGTCTTTTCTGCAATAGAAAACTTGATTTGGGCAGTCCAAAAAGTTTACAGCACTCAGATGGAGAGAGGAGCTGATAGTATCTGGGTCAGTCTCGACTGGCTGCGACAGGTGCTTGTCCAAATTATTTTAGTTAGCATTATGTGTGCCTTTGTTTCTGCATAATCCGATGGTGATTGATTGACTCTCTCGGGGATTGGCGTGGTCAATATGGGACTTAGACAATCGAAAGAAAGAGATACAGAGAGAAGGTGGAAAAGAAAACAAACAAGCAGAGGGGACAGAGAGAAGTATACAAACAATAAAGAAACAAACATACAGGCATATAAACTTGACTCGATTCATTGTCTGTAGGCTGCTTTAAACGGCAAAGTTCAAGAAACTTGGCACCTCTAGACGATTATTTAATGTTGCTTACTTTTTGTTTTGGAAGGCCCTGCGACTGGGCCTGGACATGAGGATCATTAAAGTTTTCTGGCTTTGCCTCTTTGACTTTTACTTCACTATGAGGTATAGAGCCTAACCTCGCAACAATTGCGGCAACCAGACTGCAATTTCTTTTCTAAACCCTTACTGGTTATGAGATGGTACCTTTTGTCTGGTTATCTAGGTAAAAGAGTGAGGGCCTCTCCATTCCCCCCATTCAATTAACAGATGGTTGCTAAAATGGGCAAGTGATGATGGGAGCTAAATAAAGTTGATCAGAGATCAGGGATGTCCGATTGTACTGTAGTATATCAACTGAAAAACAGGAGACGATTATTTTACCATAGCTTTTCCAAGTAATCAAAAAACTCTCCTCTAGAACTGCAGTTTTGTTGCTTTTTCATATTTTCCACCTTTAATTATAAGAATTTCATAAACATTTTATAAAAAATACAAAAAAATACTCCTACTACTATACAATTCATTCTAAACAACAATTGAAATTCCACTCCATGCATCCACCACTCCCTCCGATTCCCACCCGCTTCAGCTGACCCCTCTCTCTAAGGCTAACGAAGCGGAACGCAATGCGGAGGGACGGGCTGACTGCAGAGGGAGAGCAAATGAACGGTAATTGTGGCTGCAGAGTGCGAGAGAAGGATGAGTGTGGGACAGGGAAGCCGATTTTGTTGTTCAACAGGTGCTTGGGCAAATGCTTTGACAGTTTTTTCAACCTCTACCTCCACTTGTTTCTTTTCCTGTTTTATCACCCCCTATAGCTTGTATGGAGAATCAGAATCTCTCCAGACCGAGTTCCGAGTACATTATAGTTATGTTGTGACCTAAACTCTGCTATAAAGAAAAACAACCTCAGACCATAACTTCCGGCCCACGTTTGTAATTTAATATTGACATTGGGTGGATGAAAACATTCCCTCGAATCTGATTCTCCCTCTCCCCATAGTCGTCGATATTCAAGGTTGCCCGAATGTTGGAACTGATTTAGTCAATCAGCCTCCACTGCACTCTTCTCCATTCCACTCCCTCCACCATGTGCTGCCGACGACCTTAATCATATTTAAACAACTTTTTTGGCTGTTATAATGATTACAAAAAAACGATCGTTTTTTTGTTTTGTTCATAATTAACTGTCTTTATACCCGGTACTCGACGAGTAAATAGGGTATATTGTATTTGTGCGGAAAAGTGGATGTATGTAACGCAGAGAAGGAAACGTTTCAGACCCCTCAAAGTATATATATTCTAGATCAGCATCAATAGCCGAGTCGATAGAGCCATGTCTGTCTGCCTGGATCTCAGAGACTATAAAAGCTAGAGTCATACAATTTTGCATCCAGATGGCTGTATGCTCACACTGTTACAGGTGTATTTTAAAATTTCGCCCCGAACCCCTTCCGCCCACGCAAATCGCAAAAATATTTGCAATGAGATCATCTTTAACTGGAAATCGCGAAACAGAACTAAAAATCTTACAAATGAACGGCAAAGTTTTACGGGAGTGTTACGATTTGGGGGACACTGCTTTTATGTACCCTTACAACGTTTTGCTTTTCTCGACCAATATCCCGTCGATTTGTTCCCCTTCATTCGGCTTTGACGATTTGAAATCGCAAAATGTCTCCCACCTTTGACCTATATTTCCAATTTACACGTTCTGTGCAACAAAGATCATTATGGCTCCGAATTTATACTATTACTCAAAATGAAGCTGTCTGTTTTAATTTTCGAAATTTATAGTAATCTTTTAATGAATTCATATAAATCCAAAGAATTTTATCAAAATCTGAACGCGTACAACCCATCTCATGTATATAATTATTTAGTAATTTTGTATCCATCTTAGCGGGTTGGGTGGCGGCATTCTTATTGACTTGTATGCGCTATTCTATACATAAAATATTAATATTTTTCTTGTTATTATTTTACAGTTCTGGCCGTAGACAGATTAGCACCAATGCCTTAGCCAGGTAAGTCTCATTACTGGATGTTTACTGTACTCGTATAATGTAAAATTATAACTAATCTGACTAAGATCTGACTAAGAATCTAAGATCAGTTTAGTTAGAAAGACCTCCGTAAAAACAGTAGTAAGAAGCAGCTACAGCTTCGAGTATTTTGTGTTTCTGGTTTGGATCTCTACTAAACAAAATGTAAAATTACATGTACTAGTAGATGTCTCACTTCCATTTCATTGCAGTAGCGCCACCTAGTGTTTAAAATAAGTCTTTATTCCCTCGGCAGGTGTCGCTACGGAGCCATGTAGTTTGGCTTAAATTTTCATTACAATTATGATTTTTGGTGGCCTATTCGCTTCACTTCGCTACCCGTTCTCTGCACTCTGCAGTCCGTAATCCCAGCCCCATATTGACTGCAGCCTGTAATTGCTTCTGAGCTAAGCTTACAGTTCACTGTCATCGACGGAGAGCGGCTACAAAGTGTTTCCCTGGGCAAATTTGAGGACCTTCACGGCCATTTTAGGAACTTTGGCGACGCTGAGTCTGAATATCGTAGAACTTTCTTGTATGTGAGTTCACACGTTGAATCATTTGGCTTGAATCGTGGATCATAGCTGAGGGCAGAACGAGAGAGACATAGCCGAAAAACTCTGAGAGAATGACTTTACGCAAATATCTAAATCGATTTGATATTCTGTGAATCCTTGAGATTGTATGCGTGAAATGATATTGTGAACATCACAGCTACATATGAATGTGCGATTCAGAGTCATCGTCTCAACGCAACTTTAGCGAATAGGGGCAGGGCCAAATCAAAGAGGCGCCTTCTAACACACATCTGGTTTCGCCGATGGACTGCCGAGCAGCCGATCCTAGACCTAGCTTCATTATTTATAAAAAAAAATTTTTATTGGAACCTCTCCTATCTGCACCAGTTCGATCAGTCTGCTTAGAAAGTGCGCGGGGGTATAAGAAGATAGACTTAAAAAATGTATTAACTAAAATTGGTTAGAATGATAAGAGAATCCCCTCACAAGTCGTCGAACATATAATCAGTATCGGTATTGATTTAGTCAGGTGATGCTGGTTTAGGGGGGTATACGCTGGTGATGTTATATTCTTCTCGAAAATTTAGTTTCTATCTTTTAGGGATTGCAATTTCCAACAATACCTTTAAACACATGTCTTACAGTTTTAGATCCACAAAGTACAGTTTTTCAATGTGAGTGAGACTAATGCTTGCCAAGATAGGTGACTACAATGTACAAATTATTAATAGAAAATACCCTGTTCTTAAATAGCAGTTTGATTTTTGTATTTTATTTATTAGCATCTAACTTCTTCTTTTCCTCTCGTTTTTTTAGTCAGCTCTATAGATCATCGAGCTTTAACTCCTCGGGCCGTAGCTCCAACTGTGATACAGCCGAAGACATGTACAGCGATATAAGCTTGGAGAATCGGCATGACTACGATTATAGGGTAAGCATAAGAACTATTCTTCATAACGGAAAGGAAGGAGTTATAAAAATTTCGAAATCAAATGCGCTAATTTGGAAAATTATAATTCCTATTGGATCCTATTTATTCGAACCATTAACGTTTTATACCCGGTGATCGAAGAGTAAATAGGGTATATTGTATTTGTGAACTAAAGTGGATGGATGTAACGCACAGACGGAAACGTTTCCGACCCCATAAAGTATATATACTCTTAAACAGCCGTCCGTCCGTGTTGTTGAGCGTCTGGATCTCTGAGACTATAAAAGCTTGAGGCACAGAATTTTGCCTCCATTCTGCTGTGATATCACACTAACTTAAGCGTGCCAGAAGAGCGTGTTGGCTTGAAAGGTAATGTAGATGACATATGTAGAAAAAATGTAAAACATGATAAAGCCACTGAGTTACAGATGCACCGGGTATAATAGTTGTGACGCGTAAGAAGCGTCTCACACGTCCCTCCTTGTTACACTTGTTTTCTTGCACAATTTGCCATGAAAAAGTGTGCATTGAATAGCGAAATATAAGTAAATCACAGAGGCAATGATTTGACAATGTTAATGTCTGTCGACATTTCATCAAAGAAATGATCAATGAACAGGCAAAAGATGCACTTGATCGGACTGTAGTTCGCCAAGCCGATGTTATTTCCCAAGTCTCGCGAATGTGGCAATCAGTTTCATTGATACGAAATTTCAAAAATGTTTTCCTTTGAAAAAAAGTTCCCTGCGAAACTGACTTTGTGACTTTTCACTATGAGATAAAACGTGTTTTCTCTCCCTACATCGCCTTCCCCCATCACCATGTCGTTGGCCTCTTAGAGATTGGAGTTCGTGGCTACCTGCAGGTGAAACTTTAGTTTTGGTCTTGTGTGGGTTGCTTTTGTCTGCCACGATCCAATCCGATCCGATTATTATATAAAAAAATTGAAATAGATGGCATTTCACTAAGCTCTCTATATCCACGGACCGACTGAGTACATTACCGCCTCAAGGTCATTGAAATGTACTCCATCGGCCATTCATATTATTGCCAATTTAATTTTCCACCCGGCGGGGTCAGTGGTGCCTTTGAAGAGCTTTTTGATAAAGTGCCAAAGAGGTCGGACAACTGGAGGGAGGTTGCAGACATTTTCATTTTTATTAATGAACCATGGGAAAAGGGTGTAGGGAGATCTCGGACAATATTAATGTCGGAGAACAGGTTTCTAGAATCTACTCTTTCTGTTTTTCTTTGGATTTTATACGATAAAAAAGAGTTAAGAAATTCTGCAATTTTCGGTACAATTAATAACCTCAGCTTTTCCTTAAATGTTAACCATTAACCAATAAACCTGAACATTTATTTATTGCATAAATCAAACTGAAATATAGACAACAACTTTCTATTTGTGGACCTCTTTAGTGAATGACTTCAGCAGAGGAACTCTCATTACTCCTGAAGGAAAATACACGAGAAAATTGCTAAGGTGTAGAATGTGAGTGTGACAAATTCGTAATTACAAAAAATAAACATATACAGGGAGAATCAACAAAACACACTTGAAAGAGGGAAAAGAGAAAGCCAAAATAAGAGCGGAAAAAATAAAGCTTTGGAGATTTTTTCAAAAATGCTCACGTACATATCAATTTGTGAAAGGCTGAAAGGCCGCAACTTTTCTTGTATGCAACATGCCAACGGGAAACGGAAGTCGATTAGTAGGAGTGAAGAAGAGAACAGGCAGATGGAGGGTAGAGGGTAGAGTAAGGTTCAGAAGATCTTTACAAGTCATGGAAAACCCTTGCATTTCGTTTGATTGTTGTGTGAAACTTGGGGTGAATACGAAATGAGTTGACAGACAAAGAATCGGGAGACAAAACAGAGGACTCTTGCTGCGTGCTAAAAATGTCACTGCTGCCACAATTGTAAAGTTATTTCAAGCTTGCTTTAGACCTAAAAGTGGGATCCCGAACTAGTGAAACTGACTGATACAAGTTTTTTTTGGCATTCGTTTCTGAACATTTTTTACTGCATCTCACCTTGGCTTAGTGCCCGGGAAAGTGTTAAGCGTATCCAACAAAATTTTCCCTGAACCAAATACGATTTTCTTTTAAATTGTCTTCCACTGCTTTTGGCCCAATTCCAGCCGTCACCCTTTTTTTAATGCTCTGTTGGAGGCTTAATTAAGCTGAGGTCAGTTTTGGTTGAAATATTTGAGGCGGAAGAAAAAGAATTTCCATCTGATTGGCTTATATAAGGCTTGAGGACAGTGATTTTCCGTATTCACATTGCTGACGGAAGATGATCGCAATCTTCTTTCTCTCTAGCAGTGTGTGGTTTTGCCTCGTCGCACTTATGCAATTATAACTGTAGGCACACAAAAACAATGCCACAATTGCAATTTGTTCAATTGTCAGAGACTCGCAGAGATACCCCTACAGATGGAACGGGAAAGATCTATTTGGGTTAATAAAAGCACAAGTGGAGTGCCTCCGATGACGACATCACTTGAAGAGTTGCCCAAGCAAACTGTTTAAGATTTGGTAATCGTTCAAATTGAATATCTCCCCATCTCTGAGGCAATCTGAGGCGGCTCTTTGCTCTGTGGTGAAGCCGTTGACTGGAAGCAGCCACATAAGCATCGCATAAACAAAAAGCCCAGGACCAGCCAGGTGTCTGCTTGTCGACTTCATAAATATAATAAAGAAATACTCAATGAAATGCGAACATAAAGACGGGCAGGAACTGCAGTTCTGCTGTTTAAATCATTTTCTAGAACCAGTTTTCCATCAATAAAAAAACGGTATTTGGGGTAATACCCGTAATACTCGTAACCTCCTCCTCCATAACCAATGCGAAGCACAGCAAAATAAAAATATCCGAAAGAAGATGGTCCCCACAAGAACTAATACCGTGCCACCCGACGTACCAATTTTCATCGATCCATCAGCTAAAAGCGGCAAAGAAAAACGGTTCCGTACCCACACCCTCCCTATAAAGAGGCAACTACTAATGGGTTCCCCACCTGCGATGGCCGTCTTATCGATTAAACAATTCTGGTGGCACCTTCTGCTACCACTTATTGAGCGACACCCACCTTAGAACCACATACCCCGAACCCCGAAGCTCAGACCCGACACAACATAAAAAGCATAAGGCAAAACCGAAAGAGATACTAGGAGAATTTCGTGGCGTAAACACCATAAACGAAAATCGATTTTAACCCAAATGTTACGTTGACCCAGAAATAGCAAAAAATACACAACTTAAAGACAAGAGACCCGAAGAGACTTGGAATGAGACAGGGATCTTGGAGACAGACCCTCACACACACAACGAAATTAAGCATAAACGTTGCAATTATTATAATTAATGCAAAAATGCCTTAAAGTAGACCGAAAGAGAATTAAAAGCTCGGAGATTTTTACGAAAACGTTTAGCCCAATTATGAAAAATTGCTAGAAAGGTTTCTTCTCTGGGTTGCATTTAATATCACTTCATTTCCTAGCCCTAATCTTGCTGTTTTCCCATCAAATCCTTTTAAATTTTGTATTTTAGTAAGAACACAACAGGCATTCCCTGAGGCATTAGCTTATCTTACCAATTCTAGTGGGTGAGTGTAAAAAACAACTCCGAAAATTGTTTCTAGGCCTCGCTCTATGCCTCTTCATTGTGTGCTCTATCTAAACTGAGAAATCTCCCAAAGAATTGGCCATAATGTGGATTTATGTATGTACATATGCTCCCACACGCACACACCTCGCTTTAAAGAGAGGCGCCTGGCCTGGGAGTGAGGGTGCGGCTCTTGCTCTGGGAGCAGTTGCCAAGCACAAATCCTACGCCTTCTGTTAGTAACCCATTACGTCATGTATAGAGTGTTGTATTTGTTTTTGTTTTAGTAGCTTTTTTTCATTTTGTATGCAGACGGTTGTACAAGGCAAACCGGGCGTTACATTAATGGGTAACTAGTCTCGTCGAATCCAATTGGGATCGGGCTGAGTCGACGCTGAGGCTGCACTTGCCACAGCCCGGCGACAACTTTGGGTTGACTCTTTCGCTATTTGGCCGAACAACAATTTATGATAAATAATGAGACAGTTACTGCTGCCAGCCTGCTGGAGATTTAACAATTACGGCCTACGTGCGGATCACTTGTTTTTATGACACAGCAACTTGAACTCTTGGTGGTTTTTGAGGAAGAAGAAGGGAAGTAGTTTAAAGAGCTTGCTGATTTCCAATATTTTAGCGTTTTCCTAAGATATATTTCACTCGAAATAAATATTGTATAAAAATAAAGCATTATCAAACATCCGACGAGTCAAAGTTTATCTTTACAATCTCCTTTGTTGCCAGCCAATCTTATCGTTTACCAACCTTCCTTGGCGGCCCCATATTTAAGTATCGCCCCGAAAACTAACAAAACACTGAAAATACGAGTATTGTGTACACAGACACAGCCTAACAAAAGCAAATATGTGTCTACATGTTAGGCTAGGCTATATGTTGGTAGGGGTGTTATATTGAAAACAAACAAATATCTGCATTGAAATTGGTTTTGCGGCTTCTTGAAAACTTTGATAGTTCTGAAAGCTACGAGCAACTCTTTTATTTGCCATGGTACACATGCAAATAGTCGACAACATTTTGCTTAGTTATAAGAACACATAATTAACGGGTGTATGGAAAGACATGGTTGTTAAAAAAGTGAGAATGAAATGCAAATATGGCTAAGTTTTGTTCATTCACCGGCTCGGATGGGGACTTGAGTTAATTATATGAAAGAAGCTTTAAAGATATGAAAAACCATATCTACATATTATAACAGTCTACTGTTGGAAATTAACTTGATCTAGTTGGCTTTTCTTGAATTTATGTATTTTATTCCTAGAAATTAAAAATATTTTTGTATTTAGAAGGCTGTGATATCGAATTTGTGTAGTCTCAGTCCAGATACTTGACCTCTCCTAAATAAAAACGTATTCCAATTTCAACTTTTCGGGTGGAAGCATCTAAATCTTAAATTTTCCTGGAACAATAATTTAAATAAATTTTTTCGGTAAATATCCCCAACAAGTATTGAAGTAATTTTAGGTTTTGAAAAAAAAAAAAAATCCTAGATCCTGGCGTTTTTGCGTTCTTTCAAGAATTCGGCAAAAATGTCTCTGCCTCGAGTTTATTTCGATATTTGTGCCGGAAAGGAGAAATTGGGACGCATCGTCATGGAGCTGCGCTCGGATGTGGTCCCAAAGACGGCGGAGAATTTCCGTGCCCTATGTACCGGCGAGAAGGGTTATGGGTACAAGGGCTCCCCATTCCATCGCGTCATACCAAACTTCATGTGCCAGGGCGGAGACTTTACCAATCAGAATGGGACCGGTGGGCGTTCCATTTACGGTAACAAGTTCGCCGACGAGAACTTCGAGCTGAAGCACACTGGACCGGGCGTCCTCTCCATGGCCAATGCTGGAGCCAACACCAATGGATCACAGTTCTTCATTTGCACTGGCAAGACCAACTGGCTGGACAAGAAACATGTAGTCTTTGGAAAAGTCGTCGAGGGTATGGAGATTGTACATAAGGTCGAATCGTTCGGTTCCACCACTGGAAAGACCTCCCAGCCAATCCTCATTGAAGATTGTGGCGTCTTATAAGGAGGCAATCACTCGGAACACAATACAACCACCCCAATAACACTGAAAAAAAACAACACGCTCATTTACACCCGTCTTTACACACACACACAGACCTATGTTCTAACAAATGAACTAGTTCCGTTCCGTTCACACAATTGGCATTCATAAACAGTGTTGCGTTCAAACCAAACAAACCCTCAATTAAAGGAACTGAGGCATTGCATGTATTGTTTTGTATTTTAATAAATACGAGCTTACGTCTGAATCATATTGAGATTGCATTAGTGGGACTCTAATCTTCCCTGATCTACATATCCTTAATATTTCACCCATTTTAAAACTGGCTCCCTCCTTTTCTTATCTATGCATATCTATGTATGTATGTGATGTGCTTGCCTGATTGGCTTTTCTTTTATTTTCCACCCTATTACTTTTAATTGACTCACTCAATTCTGCTGAAGCGCTGCTTACAAGCGTCGCAGCTGATTCTTTTCACTCAATTCCGTGGCTTCGCTACTAAGTAGCATTAGTCGCATTTTTTGTTGCTGCTTTACTTTGCCTTTGCTTTTGCTATACCCTTAGCGGGGGTATATCGATTTTGAGCAGACGTGTGGAAAGCTCGGGTCTTTTCATTGGAAGCTATTGGCATAATATAGATTAAGAATTCAACCAAGTTATTTAAATTACAATTTGACATAAAGCCGACATCCGTACGATCGATCTTAAAGAGTAGCAAAAGCTTCGGACCCAAAAACTGGCCCTCCTCCCTATTAGTTTGCTTCTGCTTCTGTTTTTGGGCAAACAAAACAAGTCGCGGACCCAGCTGTGCGACGACGCCAGCAGAGACGCCAGCGTTCGGCGCTTGGCGCTCGCTGGGGCCGCTGGCGCTCTGGCTCTGCTCAGATTGCATTTAACTCTTGCCGCGTGCGCTACACGAACAACACAACGGAGACGGACGGAACGAAAAGTCGTCGCGCTGGGGTCGGCCCTCTGCCGCTCTCTCTGGGACTCTCTTTGGTGGCTTTCGCGTGCAATTGAAAATGCAACTGCATGGGTGTCCGTTGACGTTGACGTTGCCAGTGCCTTTGCCGTTGCCCCCTGCCGTTACACTCTCTGTGGTGGGTGTCTGAATAGTTTGCAACCAATTTTCGTGCCAAAAATAAAAGAAAAAGTGCCTAAAAAGTGTAAATTCCGTTTGCTCTATCAGCAAAATTATACTATTTTGTTTGCGTGTGTTGGTGAACTTTTTATCGATCCAATTCGCTTATCAGGTGTGTCAGGTGCCATGGCCTGGCCGGCCTCGGGCACGGGCACGGTACTGACGGATCATTAAACGATTAGTTAATATGAAAATAAAGTCCAGCATAATGGCGAAAATACACTGCTAATTAAAGCGTATGTTGTGGAAAAGCCTTACGTGTTTGTGCCCCGCTTTGCAGCCGGCTAATAAAAATGTATAGCCTCCCACCCATACACCCCGTCCGGACCTTTGCAATACCCATTCCCGCGTGAACATCCCCATCCAATCCCGAGGCAATTGGTTGATCGATCACAAATTGAAAAGTGCGGTTGAAAAATTCTGCGAAAGTGTTTTATGGAAAAATGGAATAAAGTGTGACATCAAATTGATAAATGATGAAATTTATGACAAAGAAAAAGAAAAGCATTTGCAAATGATACAAAATTTAAAAAAACGTACCTAAATAAGACAAGATAACAACACAACTTTTTTTTTGTTACGGGAAATAGCTACCATTTAGAAATTTTCATAAAACTATCTAAATAAAGTTAAAGGTTTCTCTACAATACCTTCCAAATCATTCGTTTTACTACATTAAATTCAGCAACTTCCACATGGAATCACGCACAGACTTGTTTAATTTCGTTCAAAAAATATCCACAAATACCTAAGAGCGTATATTCCCTTCATAATCTACCAGTTTCAATTATTTTCCATACCGTTAGCTTCGGGAAAATGGAAAAAACTCTTTCATTAGCAATGTAAAGTCAATTAGCAAGAATATAAAATAACAGCAAACTGCTCATAAGCCATAGGAAAAGAAGGGAGAAGAAAAGTGGAAAGATGAACCGGAACTAAAAACAAACCATGAAAAAAACCAATAAGAAGAAATGCCTAAAAACAAACAACAACAAAAACAGACAATGACAAGTAAGGGAGTGCAGAAGGAAGACAGAGTCAGAGCCCATCCTGCATGCGTCCCCTTGCCATTACTCGGGTTTGGTTCGTGTCCACGCTCATTCACTTGCGCTTTTCTTTGTGGATGCGTATCGATGGGGAAAGGCAGGAACTGCAGGCCGGCGGCTGCTATTAAATGTCTCATAATTATGCGATGATCTGAGTCAAGACACATACATATGTGGGAGAGAGATGAAGGAGAGAGAGAGAGAGCAGGAATGGGAGACACCCTCCCAACCTCGTACATATGGCGAAAAATTGTTCTTGAAATTGTGAATTGTTGATTCCACTCCCAGCCGTAAACAAGCGTTTCGTTTCGTGCGTGCTCTGACTTTTGTTTGTTGATTATTATTTTTCCTATTTATAAAGATTGCTCTCAGTCTCTCCCTCTCTGCGGATCTTCGCTCTTTCTCTCTGGGTACGCTTTGGGTGATTGTGCCCATGAATTTCTAGATCCATTCAGTTTGTGTTCGCGTTTCGCGGGTTTCAATCGACACTGGTTGCTGTCCTCTTTTGTTTTCTTTCTGTAAATAAGAAAAATATTGAGTTTTCCTGAAAAATATCTAGATGAAACTAGATCGGAAACTCGTTTGCTCAAAGATTGAACGTGCTCTTTGTGGAGTTTTCAATTTCCAACATTTTCTTGCTTTGTTGCATGAAAAATTCGCAGAAGAGTAATATTTGCATCTAATGAGCTGGTGGGGGGAGCACCATCCACAAGACTAGGCGATTGTATGCAAATATTTTGTGGAATTCAATTTTGTAGCCAACGATAATTTTCTTGTAGGAGTACGAGTAGGTGGCTCTTCTATTTCAGCCATTTGCAAGAAAGAAAATTGTTGAACCGATATTGAAATCTCAGTAGACAGAGCTGTCAAAAATGGAAAGTTTGCTTCATTAAATATTTATGTTTTAATTGCGGTGGTTAAGTTAACAAAATTTGTGTGCTATTTTCGAGGCACAAATGTATGTATGTATAACTAATTGCAACTCCATTAATACTATTGGGAAAGTGCTCTTGTTCCGTGACAATAACTCGCGAGAAGCTCATTCGAGAAGGCCCAACAGTTCCTATTTGATTCATCTCAATAAACTAGACGAGAAAATTATCAGTCATGAACTCCTACAGCTTGTTTGACCTTTCTTTATTTGTATGTTCACATTTATGTACATATATACTATGTATGTATTTGGCTTAGGCAAGGGCGCCTCACCTATAATAGTCGTCGAACATTGCGATAAGTCTGGCAATGAATCGCTCCCATTCCCCATTTTTTTTTTTTACTGAAATAAAGCACAAAACGGAAAAAATAGAAATACGAATAGAAAACTTAGGCAGGCAGGCATTGCATTTTGTGGTAATTAGAGACTTGCTGGATGGTCAGAATCCAAACAAAAGAAATTCCAGAAAAACCGGGAATGGATGCCGTTGTGGAGTGAGGATATGCAAAGGGGAATTTTTTGTTGTTCAAGAATTTTGCCTTGAAGTCGGAACAAAAATTGTATTTAATGCTCTGCTGACTAAGCAAACAAGGGATAGAAGAATGCAAGAGATGGAGATAGAGAGACAGAGACAGACACTAACTGTGATTGCCAGAGTAGTCTGTGTGTCTTGTGGATTTAATTTTTATGCAAAGCCCAGGTGAGATATCTGGGTGGGAAGACACTGTTAGAATCATAGGTAGAGTCAGGGGCAGAGGTGGATAAGAGTGAGACAGCAAACAGCTGTTGTCTGTCTGTCCGCCTGCCTGGACCCCGTCAAGCCGAGAATTGAGGTTATCTCTTGCCTCAATTTCACCTTTAAGTTCTTGGCCTTTTTTGTGTCTTTTCGTGGGCGATCGTCTAAAAGGTGCATTTAAAATTTAAAATAAGAAAAGATTTACATGGATATTGGGTTCATTTTGGCTTAGCTGGAATACATAGGAATACGTTACAGATCTGGAACCGAAGTTCCTAATTCCCCCGCTTCTGTTTACAATGACTCTGGCTATTTACATGTGTGTATGCTAAACAAGTCAATCTTTACTACACCACATGAATGCTTTATCTCTGGCAAACAAATCCAGTGGTTGTAGAGGGTACATCTGTTCTTGCCCAGAAATAGATCGATTTTACAAGCGAGCCCCACCAAAAATGCCTCCAGATCAGAACTTAAGCGGTGAACGCTGAAAGATGCCTCATAAAATCTGTCTGCAATTGTGTAAAGATCCTGAAATATTTTCGTAGAAAAAGGAAAATATGATTAAGGCGCTTGTTTCACTCACTTTCAGTTTTCATCGTTTTCGAACGAAAAAAAAAACAAGTTGGTAGACAGGGTCTTAATATTGGAGTTTATTCACCAGACGACCGTCTGGTTGGTGAAAGTTGTTGTTAGTGTTGCAATGGTTTATTGACAAAATTGGACAAAGACCAATGGATTTTGTGGTCGGAGTGCTTCAACTTTTGTTGCTTTCTTAAATATTTCTGTGGTTTAAGTTTTTAGGCACATTCTTCATACATTTGATCTTCCATGTCTTGGATCTACTGGGATATTCACATCTCCACAAACAACAAATAGATTCAAATTTATTATGACAGGCCACTTAAACCCATTTGCCATGAGCCTCTGAGCAAGCAATTGTGCAAAATTTGTGTAGCATCTTTGAAATATTCATCTCTGGTTATTTTGTTCTCAAATGAGTGTAATTTTTGCCTTTTTCTGCTATGCTTGTGAATCATGCAATTTATTATAAACAATCTGGCAGGAGAGGGAAAATTCCGTAAAATTCATGACACATTTTCATGTAAGTTCTCTAGCGGCGAGCCGAATTGAATTGGCTGCAAGAGAACACGCTCTTTGGCTACGTTATGCAATTCTACAACTTACAGAAGAATTGAAGATGGCGAAGAAGAAGAGCTGCATGCTCCAGCAGATTTGCTTCTTCTTAGCTGCATTTTGCAGTTGCAGTTTTTGTTTTTGCGATTATCTACACGAAGTTCATCAATTCCACTAGGAAATTAAACTCAGGCAGAAACCCAGAAGAACA